TCTTTTGCGATTAATACAGCCCAATAAGGGTGGGCATGGTCTCCAGCCTCTACCTAGTCCTGAGTCTTGCCAAGACAAGTCCAACCGTTGACTAACCTACCCGCACCTCCATGAGCGCCATGCTGATAAGCACCATAAAGAGACGATGAACCATCGATCTTAACGTGAAGTTACGTGGTCTTCGGGATGGGGACGATCCGGGTGACATCGTGCTAGTTCCGTTGAGGCTGCCCGCTCGCCGGTGGTTGGTTGATGTTCTTGAATACTGCCGACTGCTTGCGCGGCTAGCCAACCCCAGACTGACTAAGTCCCGCAATATTGACCGCTGCAAAAGCCATTAGTGTTCTGCTGGGGTCAAGGGTATTGACTCCTTCGTGGACAGTCGAGGGGATAATGCCACGCACGGTTCAGGGGGGATCCAAGCCACGAAGGCTTTTCCAACGTGCTTCGGTTGAGCCCCTATTACCCGAGCCCGGGCTAGCAACGGTAATTCGGGGCATTCTTTGAATTTCGATGAAATTATAACTTTGCCATCATTGTACTCTCGATCGAGGGGAACTTGGAAAGATTTGTGACAATATGCGCCTTGTTGCATGCCTCGCATACACAGCCTCCCACAGCAAATGGTATTACACGGAAGCAGAATTGGCATCACTTGGCTACTTACGGAATCAAAAGCAAAAATTACCAAGCAACTGGTTTTCTGCGGACACGTGCTTAGACAGCATCAGCTGCCGGTGGCGACTCGTGAAAACCTGCCTCCTTGCCGCCAAGCGTGTCCATTCAGGTGAAGATTAGGTCGTGTCATGCATCTTGACTGCAACTATATCACGCCGCATCCGGCCCGTACCCTACGTTAGCCGTGGCTAGTTGGAAGAAATGCCCCGGGTGGCATACGGAGCCGAACTCTATATGCCTATGAGGGTTGCGGCGAAGCCTTCAGAAAGGAAGGTGGTAAAGCAGGCAGCCAGTTGACCCATTTTAACGGTAGTTCTTGGCGGGAAGGGCTTGTCAGGTCCAACGATTTCCGCATGAAATACGCGGGGAGGCTCCAGGTGGAGGGTCGACGCGGGGACTTCCATATTGTTTGGGCCCGAATCGGGATAATGGCCTGGAAAGCCCACGACGCACGGTTCCACTAATCCTGTCCAGACGTGCAGTTGTGGAATATCGCGTAAGTATCAGTCATGGCTGGAACGTGATGAGTCGTGATGCAAGCCGTCGACGAATACGGCATCCATGTTAGTAGTTGGCTCTGACTGAGGAGGAGCAGACCTCTTTGACCGTGATGGTGGCAATTGCCAAGATGTAGCATCACCTCGAGGGACGGCAGGTTTTGACTAGCGAAGAATCCTGTTTGTCGGCAAAACCTGCGACTGGTGCATGTGAACAGGGGAACCGGAGCGAACCCCGATCTGTTTGAGTAGCGTCTAGCAACAGATGCACGGACTGAGATGCACGGACTGAGATGCACGGACTGAGATGATTTGCAACTGCGCTGTTGTCTATTCTGAGAGGAAAATGGCATCTCGTCTGATGATGATCTTTCACTTTCATCCGTAGTTCGTGACTTGATCTTCTTGGCTAGGTAACAGAACTGTATCCAAAGTGCAGCGGGCAAACTTTGACAAAGTATGGCTGAGACTCATGTGGCTGCGCTTGGATACCTTCTGGGGACGAAGGTTTAGGCGACTAAATGAGGTCAAGAGATCCCTGTCGCCACCAATGAGGGGTTCCCTATTTCCTGCTAAAATGCGTCCCTGAGCAGGGATCGTTCAGGAGCCTCCTGTGACGATCCTCTTTCTTACCGTCCCACGATCCTACTTTTCGAGTGACAACGTTCAAGTTGCAACGTGCAGCAATGACCAGCAGTCTAAGCCGGCCCAGGAGGCTGGGTTGCATTCCCCCGGTTGCTATGAACTCCGCTCCAGGGGTTTCTGAATCAAGATCCTGGGCAGGCAGGTTTTGACGACTCGGCTCCCCTTTCTCCCGAGCACCAATCCGGCATAGGTCACCAATTATAGACATGTAGCGCGCGGCGCAGAATCGGTCCCGGTGACAACACCATGGAGTTGAGATGCGTTGGGTGGGGCCCGATCAAGGGATTCTCACGATACACTTACTGTTTACTGCGAGAAAGGGAGCGCCACAAGTTGAATTTCTGCTCGGGTTGTCACGAGCATCGCGCGTTCGAAAATGGCTCGCCCAAGATGGATACATCTCCAACTTGGCAGAGGGTCACGATTCCAGGAGGCTAGCGAACATGGAGCTGAGCATGGGGTATCTGCAGTCTTCCCAGTGTCTTCACAGGCGACTAGACCGTTCTATGACAGAGAGATGAACCGAAATGGCTTTTCCGAGCCACGTCTTGGTTGACCGGTCTCGGGGGAAGGTCGGAGGCCTCGTCCTCATTGCTCACCGGCGTCCGTACCGGCTCTTCCGGGGAACAAAACGGCTAACTATTGCGCAGCGTCACGTTGCAGGGTCCCATTGAGTGCATGTGTGCTTTGCTAAGAGAAAACGTTTTTTGCCTCCTTGAGAGCCAAGACAGTCCATTTGCAAAGGCAACTCAGCGCAATAGTTCGCCTTGGCAATGGTCAACAACGTTGAAGCGAGATCAATCTTGGGCGTCACGCAGAACTGACATTCGCTTTGAAGTAATCTCTGAGCAAAAGTTATGGCGGATTCGGAGATGGCTCAAAAGAGTAAATGCAAATTTAGCGAAAGGGGGGACTGACAGTGATTCAATTCGTAGTGATCAAGATCATGATAAATGGGCCAAGAAGCCCGTGGTAGAACGAGAACGTTTTGGTATCACCACCCTCAACTTCTCTTGGCTCCTCAGTCTCTTGTCTTTAGCCTCCAATGCACTATCTTCAGCTGTTTCTTGCCCTCTGGGCTCTCTTTTCTACCCCTTTGTGGGCTCAAGAATCGCCAATCTGGGTTCAGGGCGCTCTCGAAGATGCCATTGCTACAGATGACACTTTCAACACCGGCGGCACCATTGTTGTCAATGGCTTCACTATGAACGTTCCCAAGAACCTTCTTGTGCAGTTTCCTGCTGCGTGGGTTCCTTGGAAGGAGTTCGTCGCCAACAAGGCCGACTTCGCTGGCTATGAGACTTTGGTAAGTCCAGTCCCCACACGTGTATCAAGAACGGGTTGACTGACCACAACTTGTATTAGGTCATTGGAAACAGCATCAACGGAGAACCCCGAGTTGCACAAGTTCAGCTCTATGAGTTTTTTGAAGGCTTGAGCAGTGGCTGGGTCGAATCTGTTGACTTTGCGGACGGAAGTCTCAAGATCCAGAACGGTCCTACTGTGCGCATCTCTGATCCCAACGCTGTCTTCTCCAAGGGCTTCACTGGCGCACCGCTCATGACTGCCGACGATCAAAGCCCCAGCATCACATCGTTCTCCGGGTTCCCCATGTGCATTCCTAGGAACGAAACTGATCCGCTTTGCCCGTTGACCAACCGCCCTTTCGTCGGCCCTGGCACTTTGTAAGTACTCTGTCGAGCTTGTGGAAGTCGCCAACTAACCATGAACAGCACTGCTCCCGACCCTCTGGTCATGGCGCCGTTCCAAGCTGGCGACTTCATCACATTCTCCGGATTCCGTCGAGGCAGCGAGGTTATTGCATTCAGCATTGTTGCTCAGAACGTTCAGATCAACACCCTTGGCGATATTGTCTATGTTCGTATGGAGCTTGGGCTTCTGGGAATTGACAACCCCAGCCCCAACGCAGAGATTGCGGAGTCTCGAGTAAGCTTACATGTGACAACCGTCTTCGACATCATGTCGGTGCTGATATAATCCACTTCCAGTTTATCGGTTTCGTGTCAAACAATCGGGCCACCGTCTCACTATACGCCATGGATGTTGATCCCTGCACCGGCACCACCTCCGACCGGATCATCGCTTCCATGGGACTCCGCGGAGGCCGCAACGCCCAGAACAAATTTGAATACCGCAACGAGATTCTCTTCAGATACACCAGAGAGTACCGCGTCATTGCCGAAATCGACGGTGTTGCGAAGACTCGCGTCACCAAGAACAATCTCACTGCCGGAACATACGTGCAACCTGTCAACGTCTGGGTACCCGGAGAACAGGACGTTCCTGGAGTTCCCCCCGTCTCGTATGACTTCTCCCAGATGGAGTTCCTGACTAAGGGCGTCGGCGCCGATGATGCGGGCAACGTTTGGGGTCCTCTGGAGCCGTTCCCTCAGACGGGTGTTTTCATCGAGACTCCTGTTTGTGCCGCTACTCCCGCGGCCCGCGACTTGAAGGTGGAAAAGCGGGGAAGCATCGGACGATGGTACGGCAGAGCTCGCGCCGATGCCATTTCTCAGCTTGAGAACGTTGACACTATGGATCCGGTCGTCGTTGTCGCTCCGGAAGAAGCTGCCGCGATCGCCGAGAAGAAACAGGAGGAGGCTGCCAACAATGACTCGCAGTGAAATGCGACCTGGTTGACAGCTCACAGAACCTTTGCCTGACGGATATGACGGAACTTTGGTGCATTGTCTGTCACCTGAACTTTGAAGTTCGGACATCCGGTATGGGACGAAATTCAACAACATCCCAGACAACTTTCATTTGTTGGTGGGTTTGGAAATGACTTCTTGTACATATATTGTCGATCTTTGGACAAACTCCTGCGCATGTTATGGATAGGCATTCTATTGTTGGAGGAGCCTGAAACACGGGCTTCTCCATCCCGTGGCTGTCAAATTGACCAGGTGCCCCCTGCAGCTTCCAACTCAAGATGATGTCAATTGATGCACTGTCTCCTCGAGGTTTACTCTCGAATGGGGCGGTCTGAGACCACGCCACTCACAGGCGTATGCGAACTTGCCATTGTTCACAAGATCAAACATTTCAACTATGTACATGAAGGAGACTTTGCAAACCGCTGCCTCGACTTAGAATGATTTGGCAAGTCTGTGTTCTGTCGTAAGGCACCATCATATTTTCGACTCGATAAATTGGACTCTAGGCGGGACTGTTGACAGTGATTGAGGCGCTACCACTGCTGTAGTATCCCTCCGTAGCAACAATCATGTAATTATGAGTTCCCAAATTTAAACCGGCTGAAGCCCAAGCTGCGAAATGATTGCCAGTTGTCACAGTGCCCCCAACTCGTTTTTCAGTCCGCTATTTGACGCTGTTAGCATGTAACTTTCAGGTTGTCGAGTGAGAAGACACACAATGGACCAGTATTGCTGGAATGTTGCTGTGTTTTCAATGCTAGGCTGCTGCACGCGAGTGCTGACGTAGATATCGTAGGTCCCGCTGTCACTCGTCAGAGAACCCTTGTTCGTAGCACCGGAAGCAGGGTTGTATGTGCCGTAGGATTCAATGATGTAGTACTCGATCAACGGGTTCTGGGTCCAGCCGTACACAGCAAGGTACTGAAAGTATTAGTCAATATCGCGCGCCATTACTCTCTTGTAGTTACGCTTCTTTCAGGCATGACGCCAAGATGAGCACCCACGCTGTTTCCATTGAATTCGTAAGTTCCCGAGTATTGGATCGTCCTAAGTCGAGAGCCATTAGCTACAGCTTTCGGGACTGATTATGTTGCGTCTTACTTAGAACCACCAGGGTTCCAACCCTTGCCGCCGACAAAGTTGCCGCCTCCTCCACCCCAGTTGACGCTGTAAGAGCCGCCAGCTCCGTTCGTGTATGTTACTTTAGAGCCACCGTCGGTCCACCAGGAGTAGTAGTATCCATTGTGATAGCCGGTTGAGCTCGGCGTCGACTGACGTTTAATGAGGCCACTGCCTGTAGGGCTGGCAATGACGCCCGCAAAAGCCGTGACGGCCACAAAGAGGCTCGAGAAAGAGACCATGATGGAAGGATGAGGGAGCGTGACAGATGTTGATAAGAGGCCGTAATGATTAATATTTTGCTTCAGGAGTTGCAATCGGCGCAACCTTTGTATTTGCAAATGTGCTGCGTTTCTGGCGCCGCGAACTGCTCAGTTACTTCGCTGCCAAGTTCCCACCATGACCACGCAAGACTAAATTACACAAGTGCGGTCTTACATGACGCGCGTTCAACTGGAACTTTCTTGATCACATTGAGGAGAGGTATTCAAGCGTGCAAATTTGGCTAAATTCAGACCTATGATATCTCGGCCAGGAAAATCTGGGGTAGAGAGTCCTTTGACCCATTCGGTAAATGGACATGATAATCTGCATGTCTTCCCGCCCTTGCAGCGGTAGAATTCAAAAGTGCCGAGTCACCCGCGATTGGGGTTCCATTTCCTGGTAAAAGATCATCTTGGCACAATCTACCTTGGCAACATACATCGCGCAAATCTTCTCTTTGTGACTTTTCTGTATTCAGCCTCAACCTATGTGGTGGCTTTCTATCGGCTTATCGAGGCAAAAGCGACTGGAATAACATGGCGAAACACACTTATACTTTAGACTAAATTTTGATGTCTTTTGGCGAAATGTCGTTGCGTACAAATATACAATGGTGAATCTTACACAATGCGCAATGTCGGCATGGACCAAATCGAGGATTATATGATGTCTGATTTTCTGAGCTTTTCAATGGATACGAACCAAAAGCTTCAGTTTGCACCGGAATCCAGGTTGGACGCTTTCATGCTGCCGGAGCATCCAAGCGACCCAAGCTGTAGCAGACTTAGTGGGAGCCGTTGTAGGGGTAAAATGTTGCATCGTGGCTGACATCTGTTACAATCGTAATGACCAGGGTTGGAAATGGCTCGCCCTTTACCTATTCCCCCGTCATTCGCCTAGCCTCAAAGCTTTGGCCCTCGTTTCTGCTGCAGAATCGGTGAAAGCAATATTCGATATGTATTATGTCATACTTCACGAAATGTCTCCCATTCATTCAATGTTATTAGGCACACAAGACTCGAGGGAGCAGGTCACGTGTTCTTGGCTATTTTTGTCTCAAACAGTTCCGCTCACCGGCGATTGGCAAAAGGAGAACCAAGGAATCGGCATCAGTCTGCGCATGTAAGAATTTCTGGCTGATCTTCAGATCATGAGCCAAGCCGCAAATTCTTGCTCCAAAATTCACTTGCAGGATAATTGCTGTGCTCTGCGTCTGACGCCGTCCAGCGATCGTGCGCTCATCGTACGGCAAAACTTGCCGCAAGCTGATACAAGCACTGTTGATCTTGGCAGGGGTGCGAGGCCCCCAGCTACTTGATGAGCGACGATCTGGAAGCCATCGGCAAGAATGACAGCCCAGCAGAAAAAGCGAGCATTCGAATTGTGGCGGTGCACATTGCTCATGTGACTCCAAAGCTTGGTAGAAGCTTCATGATTAAAAATGCTTGGGAGGAAATTTTTGAGCTGATTCGAGAGCATTAATGACGTCTCAGTAAGTCAGCTTTGGACGATCAGCCTCAGTAAAGGGATCCAAGGTGAGATCAGTAAAGGGGTCCAGGTTGAGACCAGTAAACTCGCTACCAAAAACAGCAGGCAGGTTTGGTGTGAATGATTCGTTTATCGAGGTGGGCGTTTCTAATATTTTTATCCCGAATCCCCTTAAACAGTCCCCAATGTTACCCGAGTCATTCCGTGACAAATTCGACGAAATGGCAAAGATCGAAGGCAACTCGGTGGCCGGCGGCACCGATGGTCACAGAATGGGGGCTGATCTAGGCCCGCCAGGAGTCGGAGAATAATGCATGGCATCTGGGGGAGCCCAATTTTTCCGTTCATTCTTGGCACAAACAAGTCTGCAGCTCTCGCCTAGAACCTCGCGTGTTTGAGAGGGGGGCGGTTTCTCCATCCCCTGGCCACCCAAAAACAAGCATCAAAATATTCCAATAAGGGTAGCAGCAAGCTTAAAAGACGGTTCCATCATTCATCCCTGTGGAGTTCCTCTTGTCAAGAGGCAGGCCTCTCTCAAATCACGCGCAGCGAAACTCCCAAGTGCGGGGGTCCGTGAGGCTTGAAGAGGGTGCTTGAGCGTCAGGACCCCGGAAAAGTGTGCCCATCTACGGCCCAATTGCAGTGTGTGTTGCATTAACTTTAAAGCTTGAAACAGCGATGCGGACAGTTTTTGTGGCAGGATTGGTCGAGTCTGGTCAAGGCAGTCCGACATAACCGAGCTTGGCGTGTGCCGTAGATCCGGGGCCATCCTAGGCTGCGGCACAATAAGCCTCGTTTGAGCTGATGATGTGACGGGATGATCAGGCATCTGAACAGGTGCCTGTAGCAGGATGAGGCTCCAGGGCTGTCATCTCGAGTCAAAAAAACTCATCCTTAGTAGAGTTCTGTATTGATCGGTGTCGAGGCTCAGGTGACGCCGCCATCCGGAGTTTCAGAGTGTGGCAGCCATGACTGTTAGGCCGTGAAGGGACGAAAAGATATAAGACCTGAGAGAACGATGTGTCCCCGGCTTTGATCTTGTTCCCACTTTGAGCGTCTATCTGGATAACTCCTTCAACTTTTACTGTTACATTCTTTCCGTGCTGTGCGCGGCTCTTTTTAATCGAGCGACCATTCATTACACGACCTGGAGTCCATTCTCTCATATTGTTTACTCTCGTAAAGCCCACACCGATTTATCAACATGAAGTTCTCTGCTGCTGCTTTCGTTGCTCTCGGCCTCTTGGCTGGCAACGTTCTTTCTGGTATGTGCACTTGATGAAATCTTCCCCATGTTTCCCGTGGCTTACAACCAAAAACAGCCCCCACTGTCGATGCTAGCGACATCGCCTTCCCCATCGAAGTCCGTGCCGAAGACTTTGTGGCAAACGACGCCGCTCATCTCGAGGCCCGAGCCAAGAAGAAGAAGAACGCCAAGACCGCCGGTGCGAAGGCAAAGGGTGCCGCAGCTAAGGGCAACGCCAACGCCAACGCGAAGAAGGCAGCCAACAACAACGCCGGAGCTGCTACCGCCGCCAAGAAGAACAATGGCAACGCGAACGCCGGCGCGGCTGCGAAGAAGAACAACGGCAATGCGAACGCAAAGAAGAACAACGGCAACGCAAACGCGAAGAAGAACAACGGCAACGCAAACGCGAAGAAGAACAACGGCAACGCCGCTACCACGCCCCCCGCCAACGCCGCGCAGTTCTCCGGTCTGGCTTGCACCGATGGCAAGGGTGCTGGATCTTGCAACGCCCAGGGACAGTGCGCTGTCAACGGAAAGACCACGGCGATTGCTGGCCAGTGCGGTGTCGCGGCTGCGAAGAAGAACAAGCGTTGGGTCTCCGATATTGCTCATCTGGTCTAGATGACTTTCAATGTGTTCTTTCTTTTACGGTTGGGTGGAGCATCGGGACTTGGATGTAGTTAGTGGAAATGACCTCATGAATAAGGGCGGGTAGCCTTGGAGTAATGCTTTCTCCGAAAACGTGTAATCAAAATGGACTCATGCTTTTGATTTTAATCCGGCTTGCTCGACTACTACATCATGATTTCAGCTGACTGCCGTAGGGATCCAAAGATGCTAAACACCATATGACACCGTGCAACGATCACGAAGTAATCAAAGAATCGCAGAATTTACAACGGTCTCTGTCAAAACAGAGACCTGGGCTCCCGAACGTGTGAATAGCACATATACTTCATTCACACCGTAAACAGTACATTTGTCTCACCGACCCAGCGCGACTCGAACTCCTTGTGGCCACTGATCTGAAGAGCAGTGCGGATGAAATCTCGCGCAGCTCCTACACTTCTCCCAAGGGGAGAGACCATGTAAACTGGGAACGTTCGACACCACGGACAGTCATCTTCGAGATGATAGAAGTCCATAGTAATAGCATCGAACAACCTTTCCCAAAATACCACGTCTCGTTGTTGGGCAGTCTGTTCCCATTCTCCATCGTCTCCCTTCAAAGCGCCGGCTCCTTTCCCATGTCGTCTGCTCGTTATCGCGGTGCCCATGACAAGTAACCACTCCTGCTCGCTGCACACGAAGCCACCTTTGATCAGAATGAGAGCTGATCCGATATGCCAGTTTTTCGCAGCAGATACCATGGGCATGAGATGGGTAATGCTCAAACCAGGCTTTGATTTCTTCGCATAGGCCTCGACGCACCTCAGACTGGGGCCGTAAGGACTGGAGCCTTCGACCAGCAGTGAGTTCAACTTGGGCTCATCCCCGCACTCGGCCGCGATCTCGATGGGAAACCTCCCATCATAAGGCCGTTCCGCAGACAGCCAAGGTAAGCCGCAAGTCTTTTCCCATCTGCACATCCAGTAGTTTCTATCGTTTGCGTGGGCAGAATCTAGGATCATGCCGAATATCTGCGCATAACCGTGAGAGATGGCTTCTTCCAAGCCTGTTTCTACTCCTCGATGCTGCGACCCGTACGCCGGATACTGCCGTCCCCAAACAGGGTCTCGTACAGGAGGCTCCTGAATTGAGTAAGGGCATTTCAGCAAAAGTCGCAGTGCTTCCATTTGTCCATCGCATACAACTTGCATAAGCAAGTCCGCGAACTCTCCTCGCAGCATCCGACCGTCCGAGCACTCAAGCAGAACTGAGAATGTCTCCACATCCCCATACTTGAGTGCCATTCGACAAAAGTAGGTATCGTAGTACTTTTCAATCTTTTTCTTGTTGCCGTCTGGTGCCTTGTAACTTTTGCCCCGCGACATGTCAATCTCGTACTTCACCAGGAGAGCGGCAAGGTTCTGATTGCCACTTCGAATCGCCGCCTCCAGAAGAGAGCCGAGCAGAGGCTTCTTCCTTGTCAGTTTCTTTCGTTCAGCTTGATCGGAAGACTCGTCCGTGGCAATGAGTTGATAGGAAGACAGAGCTTTTGGTCCGTGTGTGAGAATCTTTGAGAGTATCGTATTATCGACGTCAGATCTCCTAAGATAGATTCTGGCCACAAGTAAGAGGCTGTCGATTGTTTCTTTGGTGATCGTACACTTTTTGGGGAAGAGGGCGGATTGAAAATACGGATGAAATAGCATCCATATTCCGTATCGCGTCGTGATATTTGCTAGCGATGGCTGAGGATGCACAGCATAGCGACACAAGTCATGTATGTAACTGAACCTTCGCTTTCCTATAGGATCTATGCCATCCTGTTGCATGAGTTTATCCGCGAGTGAGTTTATGACGCTCGACAGGTTCGCATTCCACGGCAGGTGTTGGTATGGCTGTGCATAGATGTGACGCGCCAAGAAAGCACTCGCATCACCGTTTTCCGTGAGTTTGCAGTCCGCGGAGGCTCCGCCGGCTGTAGTTTGAGCCCTTTGATGCAGGATGGTGGCTTCGCGGTTCTTTCGCATCCTTCTCAATAGTCTTGTTCGTGAGATTGCCCCAATGACTTCTGTTTCGAAAAGTTCTACAGTTGTCAGATTCATGTCATTTCATTCATAGGTTCAGGTTGCCTTACTGCAAACTCTCATAAGCCGGACTGCATCCCGGAGATTGGTGTCAATCTCTTCGCGGTACTCCACAACCTCGTCCAAAATCTGGCATAGGCACTCTGTTGGAAGAGACAATAAGTCAATCCTCCGTGTCACAGTCGTGAACTTGGGCCGCGAGGCCAGTTCCATGATCTGTTGTGTCTTCATTTTGAGCGGCAATACACGTGGTAGAATAAAATAATATCAGAAAATGGATCAAAATGCAAACACAGCGTGAGTATTTGGTTGCTTTAACGACAACAAACAAAATCCAGTCTTGGTATTTTTACTCCGGTTATTTCGATGGACGGGGTCGAAAGAATTGTACTTTGGATGACTCTGGCCTGTTTTGACTCACCACACACCACCCCTGCATTGAGGCCAAATTTCTCCCAGGGCGCGTCACCCATAACCACCGCCCATGCGGAATCGCTACCGAACTTCTCTGCGATATACACTTAATCCCATGACAAGTGCCCAGTGTTCCTTGCTAAACTCTGCCCCGGCGCCCTTCATGGTCAGCGGCCTCCAAGCTGGGTCAAGAGACCCTCATTTCTCGATGGCCAGACATTCCCTACATTCGGAAGTGCCCGGAGAGTGTCAAGGTTGTGATTGCCCGTCTCGATCACCACGCCTGAGAAGATCGCGTGGTCGAAGCGCTTGACGACCTTGGTTCTCTCGTCAGCAGTCAGTTTTCCGATCAGCTCTTCTCTGTCTTCGTCCTAGAGACAACCGTTAGCTGTATGCATCAAGATAGCAGGTACGCCGGGGCTCTGATAGCGGGAAAAGCGTACCTTGCTGCTGCCAAACTCCACAATGAACTTCTCGCCCATGATGGCCAGAGTGCAGTACGTGACGAGGAAGATCAAGTGTGGTAGCATTGATCGGATTTTTGTTGAGGGCTGTTGAGGGCAGGCAGTATTCTCAGCTTGTTGTTGCAAACATGAAATCGCGTGTTTTTTTCGAGGTGCAGCGCGATGACGCATTGGCACGTGCGACACAGGAGCTGTTCACACCTTCCTAAATGGGCCTGTTCTAGGAAGAAGGAAAGCACCGAGGGCCAAAGTCATCACAAAAGCATGTATCAAAACAATATTGCTAAACTTTGTGGTCGTTTTGGTTTTTTCTTGGAATGACTCGCTATCCGTAGTGACAATTGAATATGCTGAGACGAAGCTGCGATGGCAGCCAAACCTTGTGCGCTCGAGCAATCCCTGGGAAGTCAATGCTCGTACAGAGTTCATCCTGTCAACTCTAAAAGTTCACTATCACATCCGCTGTCAACTAAAACGAATTAATAAAGTTAAGCTCAGAATTATGCTTGAGTAGCTTAAGTAGATTTTGGTTGCCCAAGGAAACATGTTCGTATTATGGAAACTACAGGAACAAATTATTGATTGATGTGACCGCTGTATTCACCCTCGTCCAACTGCCCGCGGGGTATCCAATGACGCTGTCATCTTTATGGGCACAATTCCGCAAACAACGCATTCATGTGAGACTGAACGAACACCCTGAATCTGGTTGCAAGTTGGTCAATATCTGTGCCGATTCTCAACTGAGATCTCTTACCAGCTTTGCTCTTCAAGCAGAGCACTTGCCCTTGGCGTAGTAGCCGCATCGCACAGCGTAGTTGCCAATCTTATCGGGGATGTCATAATCCTTCGTCCCACTTCTAGCACCCCGGCAGATACCGCACCGGAAGTCCGGGTTGGTAGCAGAGTTGGAGAGATTCGATTCGTCACTGGCCATCTTCCCGCCGATATCGTTTTCGCAGTACCATATGGCATTGGAAGTGGGAATGCCTTCGTACAGAGAGGTATCGACATGCGAGTTGTAGAAGAAGGCGCAGTCCTTGGCAGCGACGGCTGCGGCCAAGGTGGCCAATATCAAAGTACCGAAGCCTTGCATGGTGATGAAGCTTGTTGCAGTTCTTGTGGAGATGGTTCGTAATTCGTAAACTGTAGCAGACCGATCGTGACACTTTGGTGGTGTCCATTCGCTCTTAAACGGTTTCTGAGAGCATGGTGATGTACTGCCAATTGTCGGACCGGGCCTTCCTTGCACTGACTCGTGGCATCACCAAGACCTGAAGGTGTTCATTAAAGAGAGTTGCGGATCTACGTACCATGAATCAGATACAACCCCTCAACCCAATTACAGGTCTGTCTTGATTGATTAAACCTAGCTGCAAATAGCTTAGGAGGTCCCAGTCAAATTACCAGGCCTAATCTTTGACACGGATTCTCGCATTCGTTATCCGAGAACTGTCATGTGCACTGCAAACGTAAGGAGGAACACAGTGCACGATGACTGCCACGATTGGATACCATTGGGGCTTTCAAATCAGGGGACAATGTTGTATCAAAATACACCCTCGTTATCGGTCAACATCGGTCAACGGAAAAGTCCGCGCCGCAATGCTTCCAGAAGGTTTTTGTATTCTTCCATATCTCACGTCATATTTATGGTTCTGGACAAACAGCTCAATGCCTCACAAGCTTCTGCTCAGTCCTTTGTAGATAGACTTCGCAATTACGTAGATTTCACCTAGCACGACGACGCTCCTTGAAAGCTGGTATTAGCCCCGGTTTCAAACACACATGTGCAGAAACATCCAACAAGCGCATGGAAAGAAAACTGACTTTTATTCACTCTTCGAATGAGAATGTTGTCCAACGTCCTTGAAAAAGTGTTGGGGCAGGCACGATGGTAATGGGATATGCTGAGGCAATATTAAAGCTTATCAAGATGCGATTTTGCTGCATTGTCTAGGCTCTGAAGGAAGAAGCACATCAAGTAGAACAGGGGATAGGCGGGACTTCTGTTGCAATTCTGCTGTTGAGGGCATAGAGAGAAGCGGAAAGAATTGAGGCAGAAAAGGTCATTTACTTAGCGTGGTTCTTGCTAGATCTCACATTTGTGATGATTTACGACGCAAAACATTGTCACTAGAATCTGAGTGAACGGGAGAGTTCAACTTTATTTACATAACATCAACATCAATGACTCTAAATAATACAGAATTTGACCGGAAACTTCTTAGAGAGAGCGCCGGGGCTCATATTGTGGTGTTAGTAACAAATAAAATATAGTCTAAAAGCATTGTGCATTGAGGTTGGTTCTCGTCTGTGACTAATTCCGAGGTTGCGGAGTTTTGCAGCTCGGTTTTCAATCCTAGCTATTCTGGGTCAATATTCCGTGCCGACGGGAGCGCCACGTCATAGGTGGGCATGATTAGGTACTCGAAAGGCGTGGAAGACATCTCGTTTTTGCCAGGAAAAGACTCTTCGCAACCGTGCATCACGAAAAACCTCAAAGCGCACAACACCAGATTTGTAAGCTCTGGACGATTATAAGGGCTTTTGTCGCTTTTTGGCTGCTGCGAAACCCAATCATCAATCCACTCCGCCGATCGCCCAACATGGTTTACAGTGCGGAGCAACTCGACCAATACTTTGACCACATCAACTACCCTCGCGAGAAGCATGCATCGGATCCGCTTCAGCGTCTCACGGAGATCCAGGCACATCATCTTGCGAGAGTGCCGTTCGAAAGCTTGACATTGCACTACTCGAAGCACAGGCTGATCTCACTCGATCTACAAGACCTGTTCCGCAAGATAGTCATTGAGGGTCACGGCGGCTACTGCATGGAGGTGAACGCCTTCCTCGGCGCGATTTTGAAATGTATGGGCTACACTGTCCTCAGCGTTGGTGGGAGGATCAAAGGAGATGAACGTTTCGGTGGATGGTGAGTTCCGCGACCTCAACGTTGCGAATCGTCTAGTGATGACTCATTGATCCCAGGTCTCATATGGTCAATCTCATCCGCATTGATGGACAGCGTTACATGGTCGATGTCGGCTTCGGGAAAGGTGCAGCAATGGTTCCCGTACCTTTGAACAGCGGTCATGAGTTCACCACCATCGCACCATTGAGGGGCAAGCTTGTCTACGAGAACCTGGACCAGCACACAGACTCCGACCAGCGCATGTGGGTTTACTACTCCACAGACAGCGCCGATGGTCCTTTCAGGCAACGTAACTGCTTCACCGAAATGGAGTTTTTCCCGGAAGACTTCGAGGTCATGAACTTGGCCACCATGAGCAGGCCGACGAGTTACTTTGTCAAGACCGTTCTTGCCATGAGAACGATCTTGGATCCCGAAACACGGACAGCGGTGGGAACCCTTGTTTTGCATAAGGATGAAGTGAAGCAGAAGATTGGCGACAATCTCGAGCTCCTGGAAACACTAAAGAATGAGGCACAGCGCGTTGCAGCTTTGGAGAAGTACTTCTCGATTAAGCTGAGGCCAGAGGAACAGAGAGCCATCAAGAATATGCCTACGGAGCTGTTGGAGAGTAAATAGACGGATCTGATTAATAAACCATTGGATGATATATAGTAGAGTCCTGCAGCTCCTATTTCATTTCTGCAGTCTCCGCGTGTGAGCCTTCGACGGTCTCGCGCTCCTTCTCGTGCAGTCTGTTCTCCAAGTCTCGACTGTGGTGTCTTCTGGTGGTCTTTCCTGCTACGAACCAGCTGTTACTAGAGAATAGTTCGTTCATCTCTTCCAATGGACGTCCCTTGGTCTCGGGAAGGAAAGCCCAGAAGAAGACAGCATTGGTGATGTTACAGACGACGAACAGGAAGTAGAACCTGTAGCCTACTGACTCCATGGCCTCCGGAGTTACTTGGCCCTGCAAAGCTTGTCAGGATATGTTCAAGCACAATCAAGAGTCAATTCCACTTACGATCATAGTGTTGAAAGCAAATGATACCATGGTGGTGATGCTGACACCCTTGGCACGAGTTCTCGTATCGAAGACTTCGGCGCAGATGATCCAACTCAGTGGCCCATTGGTGGCGCTGAAGGAGAAGTTGTACAGCCAGGTGACAACAATAAAGCCCCACTGAGCGCTCAGGTTGTTGGATTCGCCCGGAGGGAACTTGGCCAGAAGAACCGCGGCGATAATGAAGGTCACAGAGTTGAACAAACTGCCTCCAATAAGTGGCCAGCGACGGCCGAGTCTGTCGACAAGCAGCATTGCGCAGATTTGGGCGATGATCGCTAGGCCATTGCTGATACCTTGGTACTTCAGCGTGTCGTCGGTCGCAATACCTATTTGCTCGAAGATACGAGGAGAGTAGTACTGTAATTTGTTAGTCCAGGACTGTTGGTATCATGTTCATGTGACAGCATACCTGAATCGCAGAGACTCCAGTCATTTGAACCGATGCTTGCACAGCACAGCAGAGGAACAGACGCCGAAAAGAGCTCTTGGAGCGGAAGAGTTCCATATAAGACTTGGCTTCATTGTGGTGCTCGTGAGAGATGGCTGCCTTGATTTGCTCATACTCGGCTCGGACGAAAGGGTCGTCGACGTTGTGGTTCGCGTGGAGTCGTGCCAGGGTCATGAGCATGTCCTCGTCTCTTCCCTTGTCACCAAGCCATCTGTGAAGCATGTCAGGTTTTGTGGTTGTCACTTGGGGGACCTAACTTACCTAGGACTTTCCGGAAACAAAAAGGTCAGAAGAGCGAGAAGCAGTGCTGGGATGTTCTGAATTGCAAGTGGAATCCGCCATTGCGCACTCGTCGTGGTCAGGTTGGTATAGCAACCCCATCCAACCCATGTCGCGACGAATGCTCCGATACCGATCATGAGTTGCTGCAAAGCCGTGACGGTTCCACGGATGCTTGGGTGAGCCAGCTCGGCCTGGTAAAGGGGGACGATCATGCACAGAGCTCCGACGCCGATTCCGGAGATGAACCGGCCAGTCCACATCATGTGGATATCGCGGGCACCCGTCTGGAGACCTCCACCCAATAG